GAGGAGGAGGAGGAGGAGGAGGAGGAGGAGGAGCCAGGGCCGCAGGCTGTCTCTCAGGCACGCGAGAAGCGTCACTAGTCGATATCTACGCCGCCCTCGATGTCGTCCAAGACCGCCGAATCCGCTACAGCGGAGGCAGCCCTGAACGTCTTCTGCAACTGTCGCGCAAATCTTCCGTTCTTCTCCTCTCGCATCATCTCGACCAAATACTCTGTCTCCCTGAGGTGATGAACGAACTGATACGGCAGGACGTAGAATGGCATGGCTGGCAGGATGATCATCATCTTCGGCCCCCTAGTGAACAGGCCGAGCCGGCGGAACACGGCGATGCTGGCGCAACCGCCCACAAGACCCGAGAAGGCGGGGGACATGTCCGACTGCTGCCACTTGGTAAGGTCCTTCTGACGCTCCGTGAACAAAGTACCCCCGTCCTCTATCTCCGAGTGGATAGACTGCCTCACCGCGTCCAGCGCATCTCGCTCTCTGACAGTCGCAGTGGCCAGCCACCATACCCGCTCCATGGCAGACGCTCGCCTGGAGCAGCGGCAGCCGAGACAGAAGCCGAGGATCTTAGAACCAATACGGCTTGAGCCAAAATGGCTACGGCGGAGGAGGAGGAGGAGGAGGAGGAGGAGGAGGAGGAGGAAAAGCACGAGGAGGAGAGAGGCGCGGGAGGCGGAGGAAAACGAGAAGGGCCGGCCGAGGGCCGCGCCTCGGCGGCGGCGGCGTCGGCCTCGGCCACCTCGGCCTTCGTGTCGGCGTCGTCCTCGGGCGCGGCGTCGGCGCCGGCGGTGGCGTCGGCCTCGGCGTCGGCCTCGGCGCCTCGGCGGGCGGCAGCTGGCCTCTCCTCGGACGCCCATGCCCCCCTGCATTGTGTTCGGCTTCGTGCGCGCCTTCGAGGTGGCCCAGGGTTTTTTTCCCCCAACGCTCCTGTGGTGTTCGGTCCTCGTTTTCAAGAGGCGGTCCCCGCGTTCTCTTCCTCTCGCGCCCCCCCCCCTCCTCCCTACCGTCCGCATGCGTCCCGCACACCCAGTACAGCGTTTCGTGGCCCCATAGGGCGACCCACCGAAGGTCCCAGTGCTACCGTCCGCATGCGTCCCGCACACCCAGTACAGCGTTTCGTGGCCCCATAGGGAACCCCACGGAAGATCCCAGTGCTACCGTCCGTATGCGTCCCGCACACCCGGTACAGCGTTTCGTGGCCCCATAGGGTGCTCCACCGAATGTCCCAGCGCTACCGACCGCATGCGTCCCGCACACCCAGTACAGCGTTTCGTGGCCCTCCTCCCCCCCCTGACTGCGTTTCACCCACTCAGTACAGCGTTTCGTGGCCCCGAGCCACGCATGCATGGGCTAGATGCCTCCTAGATGGGGTCGGAGTAGATGGGATCGGAGGATCGCGCCGCATCGCCGATGCATCGACGATGTATCGGCGATGCATCGGCGATGCACTGGCGACGCATCGCCGACGCCGACAATGCGCTGGCGACGTCGACGTGAAGCAAATCGGGCTCCACATCGAGCCGCATCGGCGATGCATCGGCGATGCGACGCGATCCTCCGACCCAATCTACTCCGACCCCATCTGGAAGGCCTAGATTTAAGTCGGGCCTGTCCCCCCACAGGGGGATTTTCGACGAAATTAAAAATACCCCAAACATACGCCAAAATTTTCAAAACATACTGAAAAAATAGTCCCATACTATGTTTTTACTATTTTTGAAACTTCCTCCTGTAGAGGGACAGGCCCGACTTAAGCCTAGATGGGCGTGCCCGCGCGTGTATGCGTGCGCTCGCTTCGGAGCGCTCCAGCGGCATACTGCGAGGCGCGAGGACCGCGAGAGGCTATTCCCCAGACGCCGACGGCGCCGTGCTCCTTGCTCCAAAAGGGGGGCCCTCGGAGCTGAGGACCCATTGCCCGGGACCGCAGCTCGTCACCCCGGGTCGACTCCCGACGGCCCGGGTCCTGGCCAGAGGCATCAAGTGGCGGACAACAAAACGCACGTCGTGCACTTCTATCACACGCGCGGGGATGTCTGGGAGAGGAAGGGGAGCCTCGGGGGCGCACAAACAGGGATTAGCGATCCAAGGACTTGGCGCGCGGTCTCCAAATCCATGGATCGGGGGAGGTGCCCTCCCTAAAATGCGGCCAGCGCCGCCTCGTTCTGCGGCGGAAATCCGCGATCTCCCATGGATACGGGACCCGTTGCTAATCCACGCCCCCTTGATCCACGTTTGCGATCGCCTGAGAGCAGAGGGGGGAATTCTGAGGAGGAGGGATCAGGTCGGACGAAATTTGGGGACACCAAAAGGGGGGGGGAACGAAACACCTCACGTAGCCCGTCTTGCAGGCGCCCTCCGGCGCCAGAGGCGCCACAGTATGGAGGAAGCGCCCGGCGGTGGGGTCGAGACCAGCTGCACGCAGCAGCTTTCGCTACCACCCCTTTCCCAATCCTCCCCTTTTGATCCGAGCCGAGATTTTGAGTACGAGCCCTCGAGTTTTTCATCCTGACTTGCTTTGAGGCCTGGCGACGGCCCACCAGAGGCCGAACATAACAAAAAACTGTCCGCCGTGTTTCTTCGACCTCGGTAGGGGAAACGTCAGGAGGTGACCATGGAATCAGCGATACGTCGCCGATAGATCGGCGATGGGCCCCCGATAGCGGAACCACGTGTTCCTGGGTGGAGAAAGCCGCCGCAGGCCCGCCGGCGGGGCTGGCCGCACCACTCGCTCGGGGCGTGACCCGCCCGCCTGAGCGGCTCTCTCCCTCCACCCCCCTCCTTTCGGCCGCGTCCTCCGCTTTTGTTCCCCTCCCTCCTGCAGCGGGGAGGGGGAAGGAGCACTGGCAGGAGTCGAGGAGCAAGCGGACCTGGCGGGGCCAGGGGCTGCGGGCTACCCACGGGCAGCCCACGGAGGTGGTCTGGGCACCCGCTTCGGCCCAGGCTCTCAGGGGAACGGCCCAGGGCCGGCGGCTCCGAGAGGAAGGCCCCGAAGGATTGCGAGGCGGGGACTTGATCCGTGGCCTCCGCCAGGCCGCCAGGGGGGGATCGACCTCCGAGGCGAGTCTCGGCAGGCGGTGGATATGGATATATTCAGCCACCTCCCCTTGTCGGGTCGAAAGGGGGGGATAGCAAAGGGGGGGTTTGAGAATCAGCTCGCGTAGCTGATTTTCGCGGCGCCTCCCGGCGCCGGGAGGCGCCCATGTATCGAGGAATGGGCCCCTCGGTGAAGCCGAAACCAGCTGCATGCAGCAAATTTCGTAACCCCCCCTTTCCCAATCCCCCCCTTTCGCCCGGCCCGACCCTTGGCCCGAATGCACCCACGTCCAGCGCCTGCTGAGGACCCCAGGGATCCATCCCCAGGGCTCTCTCAAACACCTGCGCCGCCTCTGGCGGAGAACCCAGGGCGCTCGCGCACCCCAGGGACTGAAGAGGCCCCAGGACACACACATAAGTACACACAAATACAAATGTTCCCCATCTTTCCCCATGTTTTCTGGGTTTCTGTCTTCCCCCCCCCCACTTCCCATAGTTTCCCATGTGTTCGGGGGAATCGAGGATTCATTGTGTCTGTGTGTCTTTTTATCTCCTGAGGGACGGGCGATTAGAAGTGCCGAGAGCGCCCCGACGACCCCGGCACCGGGGGCCGCAGAGGCGAGCCTGGACCACCTCCGGGAGGGCCGCCCCGTCCATCGGCCCCAGACGCCCGGCGTCGTGATCTATGCACGACGTGGCCCCCAAGAGGTCTGGACCCCTTCTGTGGGGGAGGAGGAGGAGGAGGAGGAGGAGGAGGAGGAGGAGGAGGAGGAGGAGGAGGCAGGCTGCTCCTCTCGATGCTCCTCGGAACCTGTTCTGACGCCAACGCGTGCTCGTCCACCGAATCCCGTCATATTACGACGCAGGTGATGCGAGAAGGGCCGACACGGGCTGCGTGCTACCAGCTGAGCCGAAAAGGGCAAGCACACACTTTGGCTCGCGCACGTCCTGAAGATCATCGACTCTCCTGCGCCGCTCGGTGACCGTCCCCGGACCCGGTCAGGGTCAACCCTGGGATCGGCGCGGGGGTTGCTCAGGAGATGGGGGGGCTGATCCATGAATGCCAAGGTGGGCAGTATCTGGCCTAACCTAGCCTATGAGTGGGCTACAGATGTACCAAGTGGCTTTCGAGGGGTAGATACCTCCGATAGGTGGGCAGATACGACTTAGCCTGGATCGTTAACCCCCCTAAGCAAGAAGACAGAGGTCTCCCAAACGGGGTCAGAGTAGATGTGGTCGGAGGATCGCGCCGCATCGCCGATGCATCGGCGATGCGTCGGTGATGCATCGGCAACGTCGACTACGCATCGGCGACGTCGACGTGCAGAGAATCGGGCCCCACATCGAGCCGCATCGGCGATGCGGCGCAATTCTCCGACCCCATCACTTCGACCCCAAGCGGGAGGCCTAGATTAGGGCACCTGCAACCCACTTATAAGCCAGGTGATGCCAGGCATAACCCACCTTAGCATCCCACTTCTAGTCCCCCTTCTGCCCTTAGCACCACCCGCGGTCATCCAAGCATATGCCGAAACCCACCAAAAGCCTGCCGCCGTGATTATTTTCCACGGCGCGCTGGAATGACCGCAGGGGTTGCCAAGGGGATAAAGGGGCTCGGCAGCGGATGCCAAGGTGGGTTGTACCTGGCCCAACCCAGCTTGCAAGCTTTTTCCTTTACACAACTGCTCCAAACATGGTTTATTGATGTTCTGCTCAACCCAGCTCAGAAATGTCGGGGGCGCACACACATGGATTAGCGATCCATGGACTTGGCGCGCGGTCGCCGAATCCATGGATCGGGGGGAGTGCCATCCCCAAAATGCGGTTGGTGCCGCCTCGTTCGGCGGCGGAAATCCGCGACTTCCCGTGGAAACGGGACCCGTCGCTGATCCGCGCCCCCCTTGATCCATGCTTGCGATCGCCCGAGAGTGGGCCGCAGATGGCCGGAGTGCTCACCCCCGCAGGAGGCCGGAGACCGCCCCCCAAAGAAGCCCGCCGCCCGTGCTTTTCCTCCGCGGCGCGAGGGCACCAGCTCCGGTCGCGCGGCGCGCAGCTCGGAGGCGTGCCCCGAGGCGCGCGAGGAGGCGCCCCGAGCCACTCGGCACAGCTTTGGAGGTCGGAAAAAGGGGTGCGGCACACAGGGGGTGTGGTGCCAGTCGTGGCAGTGGCGCTGCTATCTGCGAGAGATGACCTCGCCAGACCCAGCATATTTTGTTTTGGAGGAGGAGGAGGAGGAGGAGGAGGAGGAGGAGGAGGAGGGGGCGAGCGCGGCCACACGAACTTCACACAACGCGGCTGCCACCATATCGCGAGACAGTTCAGCGGCAACGTGAAGGCAAGACTCCACATAGGATGTGCTTTAAAATCGCCACACCCAGCATCGGCACCACACGAGGAGGAGGAGGATTTTCGTCATCGGTCCCATAGGGCATGAACTCTATCAGCGGCGACCGAGGAGGCTTATGTTCGAGCCTCGGTCGAGAGCGCCCTGTGGCGTTGCACAAGAGGCTCTGGAACAAACTAGGCAGAGCGCAAGCACACGGCGCCAGCACGGTCCACGAAGCTAACTTCGACAGACCACTGGTGACACGCACAAGCACACTGCAGCAGCATTAAACGCGTTCGACGTGAAACGCCTCCTCCTCGGCTGCCATAAGAGGATCTTCGTCCTCATCATGGGCGAGGCGCACGGCTGCCTCGCGCAAAGCTTGGCCAGAAGGCTCTCGTGGCTCCTGTCCATCAGCAAGCAAAACACCCAAAGATCTCGACGCCTCTTCCTCGGCAGCAAAATCGTCGACGGGCTCCTCTACACGCGCAAATGCGCTGGAGGGACTCTGACTCGATGCCGAAGAGTGGTGCCGAGATGCCGTGACGACTCGATCGCTCGAATTGGCGGCCGCCTCCTTTGCCTGGATCCGCGCCTGCAGCGCGATCATACCAGGCGTCTGGACTAGGCCAGAAGCATTGACACCTGAAACGACCACCTCCTGTGGCGGTGGCTGAGACGCAGAGAAACACAAAAACGAGCTGCCTCTTCTCGTGCTGCTCGTGAGCCTCGAAGGGCCCCGATAATGGGGGTAGAGGCCATTGTATATGCGGCGGAGAATTGTCGGAGCTCCGCTCAACCGACGTTGTGAACACTCCTGCCCGAGCTTATGGCAGCGACTGGCTGCGTACGCTCCGCACACAGTGCAAAAGAAAAGAGTTTTCTCGGCATCGCCCTTTAAGACTCGGCAGTGGGCAAGGGTGCGACCGAGGCTGACATCTAAAGTTTTACGCCACGTGCTACTCATGCCTTTGCACCCTAACATAGGTCTGGAAAGCGGGTCGGTCCATAAAGCAAGGCAATGCAAGCACCGCGCCCTGCCTTGTTCGAGGTCCTGCCACGCATGCCAGCCCCCTGATTTTAAAAACTTGGACCTAGGGCCAAAGCTCATACGATCAAATCTCTCGTGGGGGAAGGCCGAAAGGACCTTTCCGCAAACACGTGCAACAATCCGCAGTAGTTTACATTTCCTGTCCACCTCCTCGCTTTCATTCTGAGAGGGTCGGGGGTGAGAGAGGAGAGCTGTTTTGGCCCGAGCATCTGCATGCCAGTTTCCCAATCCGATACGACGTTCATCATCGGGCAGAGCGTCAATATCAGCCAGTTGTCGGTGCGCTGGCGTATGAGAGACAACAGGAGAATGGCCAGCGACTTCGTGCAGCAGCGATCCGCGTCGCAGACCAGCATAACGATGCTTCCTAGAAACTTGATGTCTGGGATCCGCACGGCATAACTTAACGACGGTCAGGCTGTCCCCGTACCTTCTTCCTCCGAGCTGCTGGAACATGGGAAGCAAAGCCATCGCCTGATGTTCGGCGGCCTGTGATGTTTGGGGAAGGGTGTCCAGGACCGTGCCACGAGCAGTGGCAACAATTTCATTGGGTCGGGACCCCAAAAAGATCCAGGAGTAGGAAGCTCTCGAGAGCTCACGGATACAATGTTTGCTGGCCGAACCATCCACGCACACATCGAGCCCCCGCAAATCGATCGCGTCCCATGGCACCGCGGCACCCGAGGCATCATACAGTTGAGGGTTAGGCTCGGGGGAAGGGGGCGGATACGAGGCTTCGGGGTGGGACCATTTCATCTCATCAAAGAAAAGCCGATCCTCGCTCTCGATCGCCTCCGCATGCCATTCGACAGGGACCCCGTCCAGCGCCTCGGCTCGAGCCGCAGCCGCCGTCGGGTGCATGCACTGCCACAGGCGGTGTCGAACGCTGTCGGGCTGCCCGTAAAGTGGGCGCAAGCCATCCGTCTGGTACCCACAGGCACGAGCTCGCGTACGAGTCCACACTCCCTTACAGAAACAGGTGAGGGCCAGATATTTTTCACGAGGGCTAAGGCCCTTTCCTTGGGGCCCCAGAAACTTCTTGAGGGGCTCAACACAAACGCGATCGCCACCAAACCCAGGAGCGCGCTCGGCCAGGGCCCGTTCGTGGGCCCTCTGGGTAGCGAGATCCAGGAGGTGAGCAAGCATAGCGGGGGAGGTGTAACCTAAATGGACTTCTCTATCTTTATCGTCGCGAAAAGTCAAAGCCGACGTAGAGACCCATCCCAGTCTATGAAGGCTGAGATGCATACGCTGCACAGGTCCCCTGGAGGACCGCCAGGTGACATCATCATCGAAGGGTATCGTGCGCCAGATGGAGCACAAATCCTTAACCGTGTACTGGGACATTTGAGGACACGTGATCGCCGTCCACACCACCCCAGCCCAGTGAAGTGCAGGAGCAACAGCAGCGCGCCACACAGGATCGCCTAGTATGGCGAGCTTGGCGTGCAAAGAACATCCCTGGTGTCGAGGGGGCTTGTAGGCTAAGAGGACCCGTCGAGCCTGCTGGAGTTCCTGATTGCTCATCCCTATCACCCCAGATCCAAAACTGGCCGCGGGCAAAACTCCAGCGACATAGATTTTTCCCATACGACCTTTCTGACGAGGAAGGGCATGACGATATCGCTGGAGGACGCGGCGCCGCCGACGCATATCACGAAGGCGGGCCCGTCGTCTCCACAAAGCTCTGGGCTCCGAACGACGCTGGCCAGGAGCCAGGTCGGTGCCGAGTGAGACCACGCTGTTAGAGACTTGCCCAGGCATGTGCCCAAGATGTCGTGCGATACTCTTGGCCATCGCGAGCGAACTGCCGAACGTGCAAACTTTGTCAGGATGCACCGCAACTCGAAGCTCATCTCTAAAGATGATGAACAACGCTGCTGCTGCTCGAGTAACTTTGCTAATCACCTCCTCCTCCGTCCCCTCGGTCGTCACGCTGTCATCGTCGACATAAGAGGATAACCGCACATCACCATGGATGGCAACGAACTTATCGAAGGCCTCGATACTATAGACGCGAACGAATACCTCATTAAAGATATCGCCCGCGGGTAAGCCCGAAGAGGCGAAGTAGGGCACATGAGCATATTGGGCACCCAGCCGTAGTAACCGAGGGCCTCGCCAATAATTATATGTCGTCTTCACAATCGTAGCATCAATGCCATAATCTAGGGCGCGCTGGCGCAGCAGGGAGAGATCGAAGGACTCGTAATACTTAGCCCCGTCCCATATTAATCCCCCCGTCACCTTATCGCCATGGTGCGCGACCTCGGCCCGTACGGCCTGATGCCACGCAGCGTCTTCAGCACTCCTACCTGGTCCGAAAGCCCAGTACTTGCGAGGATACCTATCATTGAAGTCAACAGTGGCGGGGCGCCTCAGTCTCTCCCAAACACGAACGGGTCCCGCACATAACAAAATGGGTCTCAGGCCCCCTTTCGGTTTTTCAAGCAAGGGAAAAAGGAGCCAAAACAGCTGTTTGGGGAAGAGGCCCAGGGACTCAATCGCCTGAACAAGCGCCGCGAAAGTTTCAAGAGCCGCGTCCGACCCGAGGCCGAAGTGACGAGGGTGAAAACCATCGGGGGATTGGGACGCGTGGTGGCTGAAACTGCTCGACGCATTCCTAAGCTCAGCCGCACTCGGCCGAGGCAGGTGGACACGGTCGGGCACGCAAACTTCAGGGGGCACATGGGACGCGCGCCAAAACTTAGCCAGCTCCTCCCCTTCACGGCGAAGAAGGAGCTGCGGATTACTGCTGAAAGCTCCAGGGTGGGTCTGGACCACAGTGGGATTCCACTTAGCTTTTAACTTAGTAAGTCGACGCATCCCCCTGGCACCTCCCTCCAACGCCTGCTCCTGCCATTGATCCCAGCTGTCCTGCTGCTGCTTAACAATGGCCTGCTTGGCCGAGAGGAGATCGTCCTCCCACGACTGTAGGAACTCCTGGCACTCGTCGCACCAGCCATTCAAAGGGCCTGACGAGGGGAACTTGCTCGCCAGACTGCGTGCCTGCCGCAGGGTCGAATCGAGGCGTATGTCGCCTCCTTCGCCTGGGCAAGGAAGACCTAAAAGCTGCTGGATTTGGAGCTGAACATCCTGGAGCATCCGGTCACGGGCCGTGATGTTCTCAAGGCCGTCGGGGTCCTCAGCGGCCCTCGTGTAGGACTGCTGGAGCCTCGCGGAGGCCCCCACCGTTTCGCTGAGGTGCTGGGCCAACCAAATCCATCCCCGAGAGACCGAAAGCGTTTCAACAGCACGGGGTTTGGCGAAAATCGGTACCCATTTAGGTTTCAGATAATCACCTCGGAAACCTTTACATCTAACAATCTCACCAGTGTAGCTCTCAAGCTCAAGCTCGAAAGTGTTAGCAAAGTGTTGCCACGCAACAGAGAGCAACGCCCACGCCTGGCCGACAGGTGCCTCAAGCGCAGCCTCGGCGGCGGCCTCGGCGATCCCCCGCGCGAGGCGCCAATCTGCGGCTGGGGCTAGGGTCCTATGGGCAGACTGGTGGGCAGGCGCTGGTGGGCTCGATACTGCAACTGATAGCATTGAACAGCATTCTCCTTGAGGTTCAAAATGACAGGGCGGTGGGGCCCATGGGTCCAATCGAGGTCCGCTTGGACCCCATCAGTGGCCTTCGCGAGGCCCGAGCTCACCAAGAAATAATCGATCGTAGACAGACTCTGTGGGGGGGGGGGGCAAGTTTTCTGCCCAGGAACAAAGAGCGCTCCCCCCGTACGACGACACACACCCGAGGAATCAACAAGGATGGGGTCGAGGTTCCAGTCACAGTCCACCAGAAACATGTGTTCGCCCTGGAGACGCTCCCCCATGATACGAAGTAACTGAATATTCAACTTGCACATACCAGTGCCGCTCTTGAGATATCCACACACAACTTGGAGAGGGGGCCATCCTGGCAGATCAACGACAACGTGCATTAACCTACCAGGGTACAATATGCCCGTCCGATCCGCAGGCCACCTAAGGCCAAGGTGTGAGCGAACGAAGACCGCCACCCCCGCCCTAGTTCGGTTGCCCTCACCAGGGAGGGATGGGGAAGACAACATTTTCCATCCCAGGGCCCCGGCAGAGCTAGCTTTTTCACCCTCACGATCCTGGATGAAGCCCACCTCCTGCGCCAACAGTATACTAGCCGAAGACCTCCTCAGACGGTCGCGTAACGTGGCCCAACAGTTGCCATTATACGTTTCGAAGCAGCTGCCCAGGCCATCGAGCTCTGAGGACAGCGGAGTCGAAGGGGTGGAGGGGGGCGGAGGTGGAACAGGAACTCCGAATTTAGAAAGTTTGAGCCCGCAGCAAAGCGGCTGGCTCTGGTTAAACTCGCGGCTTGACACGGCGCAGCTGACCACCGAACCGCTCAGAAAAGGTACTCTTGTCGAAACCCTCCTCTCTAGCCGCAGTGAGGATACTGTCGATGGTGGTGTCATCGAGGTCGTCGAGTTCCATGTCATCTGGGACGCGCACTCCAACTCCACCTGAATTTGCGTCGGCCCCGTCACGGTCCTCACCTGACCCGCTAGCCCCAGAGGCACTGCCAGGAGCCTGACTCGCACCACCAGACGGAGTAGCGAAGGGCGAGGCGGCTGTCGCTGGCTTGGGGGGCTCGCGGGCCTTGATGCTCTCCCCCAGGACCTCCGCAAAGATCTTGAACGTATCTGACTCCATGAACGTCTTGAGCACTGCTGCTTGAGGGTGTTGAGCCAAGACGTTAGGATCGACCTCCAAATTGACCTTAGGCGCCAATGGTAAAGTATCGACCAACTCACGATTAAACATCGAGATCTCCTCCTCAGCTGCCTTGATCTGCGCTCGAAGAGTATCAGCACGTTCTTCGGCTGCACGGATGATCTCAAGCTGATCGGAAACCTGCTGCTCGAGCTTGCTCTTGCGTGTCGTCGCTCGAGAAAGCCGATGTCCGATGTTGGTGTGTTGGGTGAGCTCTGGCTTCGTCGCCGCCAACTGCTTGCGGAAGTCCACCAGCTGCTTCTCCAATGACTCACAAGCTTCCTTACCAACCTCATCAGGCAGCAACTTGCACGCTGAAAGTGAGCTCTCAAGTTGCTTGATCTTCTCCTTGAGCTTGTCTGCGGGAGACAGCTCCTTCTCCGTGGGAGAGGTGGCCGCGGGCGGGGGAACTCCATTGCTCTTGGCCACCAGCGCGTCGTACTTCTTCTGCAGCGCGTCGATCTTCTGCTGGAGCGGGTCGGTTCCCGCTGGTGCGCGACGCCTATGAGGCCCACGCTCCGCAGCACCGCCAGCACGCTCACGAGCACGACGAACCAAATCTGCTGGTGCACGCTCGCCACATAGACATGTGATGCGGCACGCCCAATGAGCGTTCCTCCCACAGGATCCGCATGCCCATGTGGGAGAGCGGGGGCCCGCCAGAACATCTCCAGCGCCGCCTCCGCCATTTGCCATGGAAGCCCAGTGACTGGGCGAGGAAACTGGGGCCTGTGTTCGGCCTGAAACAAGTAGCCACAAAGGGCGATGACTCGCAGCAGCGACTGCCGCTCTGAATCCTGCTGCTGCAAGCTCAGCACCTGAAACAGGTCTGAGCCAAAACGGCTTAGAGGAGGAGGAGGAAGAGGAGGAGGAGGAGGAGGAGGAGGAGGAGGAGGAGGAGGAGGAGGAGGGGGAGCAGGAGGGGGAGGAGGAGGAGAAGGGGGAGGGGGAGGCCCTGTACACCACACCCCTTTATCCACCTCCAGAACAGCTGCGCCGGCGGCGCCCACGAGGCGCGGCCGCCGGCGAGACCTCCCCGAGCGACGAGCGGCTCCGCTGGAGCGACGAGAAGACAAGGGTCTCTGAGGCGCGAGGGCGCGGCGACCTCACGCCGAGGCTCACGCAGGCCACCGGCGCGGCACGCTGCTCTGGAGACGAGGGCGCTCGCGCTCCAGCTCACGCGGGAAGCTTGTGTGCGAACGCTCGCGCCATCGACCCAGAGTTCTGCCGTCGCTCACTTGAATTCGATCCGTCGGGCCGCGCGCGATTGGCGCAGAGCCCTGTGGTCGGCTGGACGGCCTCGGGGGCAAGACGGGGGCCCAGGGATTGGCCGGGGAGCGGCCGACGTGAGCCCAGCCCCTGCAGGTTAGGTGGTCAGGAGCTTCTGCTGAACGTGTCACAGCGGCGGCCCCGCGACACGCTCTGCCCTGCGAGCGGACAACGCGCCGCCCCGCTCCGCGGGGCGGGAGGCTGGGAGAGGCCCGGGACGCTGAAGCCTGGGAACCGAGACGTGGATAGTGCACCTTGCCGAAGCGTGGTGGGCCAGAACCGCCAGCGCGACACGCGAACCAAAACTTCCCGACCGTCCTTCTGGAAAAACGACTGGGGCTCAGAATCTAAAGGGTGTCAGCCGGCGGGGACCCCCGATGCCCCAGCGGCGATTGGACCTGCAGGGGCAGGGATCGCAAGTGGTCGCAGATTCTCGGCAGGCCTGGGTCCCCAGACTTCTTCTGACGCCCTGGTCTGCTCAACGCTCCTATCTCCGCCGCTGTGTGTTTGCTCAATCACAACGCTTTTCCTCGATTTTGGCCCTGGGGCCCGTTGCAGAGCCCCAGGATTACCAATACCAACAAACAGATCCGCGGGGAAGGTTTCCGCGCCATGTGAAAATCACATCGTCGGACGTCTGGGCACGGGCCCCCAGAAGCTCCGACCCCTTCCCAGGGGCTGGCCCTTCCTCCTGCTAGCGGCGAGCAGGGGGAGGGCGAGTGGCTTCTTCGAAGGAGGCCGCTTATTGGAACGGGCAGGCTCTACGCCAATAGAGAAGGCCGGCGCCTTCTAAGAAGCACGGATGCCGCGAGAAGACCCTGAGATCCGACGTCCCGAAGACAAAATGCAGTATCGTGGAAAGTCACAACCAAAGCCCCGGACCCTACGGTCGGGCATTGCTGGATAGCTCGTCGTTCCGCCGGTTCTGGCCCGCCACACCATGGCGCGACACGCTATCCACTTCGTGGTACCCTGGCGTCCAGGTGCCGAATTTTTCAACGCTACTCAGGTACTCCTCCCTTTCCTAATCATTCTCTATACTCCTCCCCTTCACCCTCCTCCTCCTCCTCCTCCTCCTCCTCCTCCTCCTTACCCCCCTCCTCATCGTCACAACCGCCTCCTCGTCACCCAGCTCATCCTCAACACGCTCCTCCTCCTCCTCCTCCTCCTCCTCCTCCTCCGCCCCCTTCTCCTTCTCCTCCTCCTCCTCCTCCAATTATCATCATCATCATCATCATCATCATCATCATCATCAGCAGCAGCAGCAGCAGCAGCATCATCATCATCATCATCATCATCATCATCATCATCATCATCATCATCATCGTCATCGTCATCATCATCATCATCATCATCATCACCATCATCATCATTATCATCATCATCATCATCATCATCATCATCATCATCATCATCATCATCATCATCATCATCATCATCCTCATCAATCCTCCTCCCCACCCTCCTCCTCCTCATTCTCCTCCTCCGCCTCCTCCTCCTCCTCCTGATCCTCCCCCTCCTCCGCCTCCTCCAACTCCTCCTCCCTCTCCACCCTAAGCGCCCTCCTCCCCCTGCCGAGAAGAGGAAGGCCCCCCCTGCCGAGAAGACCCTGAGATCCGACGTCCCGAAGACAAAATGCAGCATCGTGGAAAGTCACAACCAGAGCCCCGGACCCTACGGTCGGGCATTGCTGGATAGCTCGTCGTTCCGCCGGTTCTGGCCCGCCACACCATGGCGCGACACGCTATCCACTTCGTGGTACCCTGGCGTCCAGGTGCCGAATTTTTCAACGCTACTCCGATACTCCTCCTTTTCTTAGTCATTCTCTATACTCCTCCCCTTCACCCTCCTCCTCCTCCTCCTCCTCTTCCTCCTCCTCCTCCTCCTCCTTACCCCCCTCCTCATCGTCACCACCGCCTCCTCGTCACCCACCTCATCCTCAACACGCTCCTCCTCCTCCTCCTCCTCCTCCTCCTCCTCCTCCTCCTCCATCATCATCATCATCCTCCTCATCAATCCTCCTCCCCACCCTCCTCCTCCTCATTCTCCTCCTCCGCCTCCTCCTCCTCATCCTCCCCCTCCTCCTCCTCCTCCTCCTCCCCCTCCTCCGCCTCCTCCTCCTCCTCCTCCTCCTCCAACTCCTCCTCCCTCTCCACCCTAAGCGCCCTCCTCCCCCTGCCGAGAAGAGGAAGGCCCCCCCCAGCCCTGCGCACGGGGAGCCTGCGGGCAGTCCAGAGCCGCACGCCGGGTCTGCGCCAGAGCGGGCGGGAGCGCGCCCGAGGAGGTGCGAAGGCCCCGGGCGCCAAGCATAGGGGAACAAAAAGGGGCATAAAACATAAAAACTCGGAGGTCCGCGCGGATTTCTCGGATCGGCGCTGGGGCCCCCTTCCTGGCGCGCGGAGCGCGCCAGGGGCGGCGCCGGAGGCGCCGCCGGGGGGGCCCCAGCGCCGAAGCGAGAAATCCGCGCGGACCTCCGAGTTTTTATGTTTATGCCCCTTTTTGTTCCCCTAAAGCAGACATCGGGTTGACGGCCCGCCGTGCCAAGCCACTGCAGGAAAAAGGCAGCCGCTGCTCGGGCGGTCCGCTTGGGTATGCCGTGTGGGAAGCGCCGCTTCGCGCGGGAGGCGACGGGGGCGGGAGGGGCAGCCGAACCCGAAAGCACGGGGCGGGGCCGAGTGCACGGGAGCGGCCCCCGCAATGCCAGATGAGCAATCACACGGCGGGCTCCAGAAACCCCGAGCCCAGAAGAGCAGGAAGAGCTACCACCTCTTGGGGGGCCGACTTTTACTTCCGCTGTCTTCCGCCGGCCTGTCGACGTGATCCGCCCGCGGAGCCGCCCCCGCTGCTACTCCCGATGGCGCCCGCCGAGCAAGTAATGCCAAGTCTGGGGAACCTCGAAAGCGGGGCCCTCTCGTGGCCGTGCCACATGTGAGCCCTACCCCTGCAGGACATATCTCGGGAAACCTCCTGAGGTTCAGAAATGGATGGATGTCTGCGGCCAAATGAACCACAGCGGGGGGGTCCGGTACCCCAGCGTCGATTGGACCCATGGGTCCAATCGACGCTGGGGCAGGGTTAGGTCGGGCCTGTATGCCTGTCTGGGATCAGCTGGCCGCCATGGGCGACGCGTCGACACGCGCAGCGGTATAGAAAGGCAGGGGACCTGGCCCAGGAACATACTCAAGCCCAGGCCCCTCCCAGGGTCCGTCTGGTGCAGTGTTTCACCCCGGATCCATTGCTGACGGCCCCAGGGCCCGGAGGCCAGACAAAACAAAAACACAATGAGGCAACAACACAGAGGAGGAGGAGGAGGAGGAGGAGGAGGAGGAGGAGGAGGAGGAGGAGGAGGGAGGAGGAGGAGGAGGAGGAGGAGGAGGAGGAGGAGGAGGAGGAGGAGGGAGGAGGAGGAGGAGGAGGAGGGCGCCTCGAGCCTCGAGCCCCGAACGCCCAGTGCTGGGCCACCTCCGGCCCCCACCCGCCGCCCTCTCGCGAGGACCCTCGGCACGGCGCCGCGCCAGCGCGGGCTCGTCCACCGCCGCCGGGCGGCTGGAGGCGGCGCCCACGAGGGGGCGGCGCGCGCGAGGGCGTCTAAGACGGCAAGGGGGCTGCTTGGGAGAACGGGGCCGGAAGAGGCACGCGTGAAGCAGGCACACGATTCCAGGACTCCTATGGCACTCCTCGGCACGCCTCCTCTGCACCTTCCTCGCCCCCTCTCCACGTCTCTCTCTCGTGCTCCCCTTCTGCTCCTGGCCGCCTCCCGACCGAAGCCCGCCCGGCCCAGGAAGGAGCCGCGTCGGAAGCTGCTTGGAAGCCTACGGGGCCTTCTGAGGAGGCGCCTGCCGCCGCCCCCCCCCCCGGGCCACCCGAGCCAGCCCCCCCCCCCCCGGGCGCCGCCGAGGCCGGAGGCCTCCCAGCGGCCAGAGCTGCTGAAGCCAAACGCTTGCGCCGCATCGCCGAGGTCTCGCCGATCTGCCGGCCACGTCGGGGCAGAGGAGGCGGGACTGGCGTCGCTCCGCGTCGCAAACGCATCGGCGATGCGGCGTGACCCTCCGGCCCCACCAGCTGCGGCCTCACCTGCAGGAGGCCTGGAGAGGTGCAGAGGGAGAGCCGACGCCGGCGGCATGCTATCGGAGGAGCCATGGCAGGGGTAGACGCACACTGGCCAACCACACGCCCTGAGGACCATCGCCTCTCAGAAGGCCGCCAAACCTACAGGGCAGGTTTTGATACATAGGATCTGTAATACATGATTCATGTATGAATACATCTATGCATGAACTCATCGTTGTTTTTTATACTAAATCCCTGCATGTTTAGCACATGACTTGAAAACGGAACTGTGCGCCGCGCGTGGCCCCGAGCTGCCGCCCGAACCGCTGGAGAGCGGCGCCCCTCTCTGCGCACCCCCCCGGTGTCCCGGCACAGAAAAGATCGTGGCGCCGCAGACAAGCACGGCCGCAGGCCTCAGCCACACGCCACGCAAGCCACTTCGCACTGGCCCCAGGTGCGGGCAGCACCTATATCCATATCCAGAGCGTCGTGAACTTTTTGGGAAGAGGTGCCGCAACGCCGAGGCGCACTGGAGATGGATAAAGCAAGCCTCTAGGGGCCAGATTTTTATCCATATCCAGTGCGTCTACCGTTTCTGGGGAAGAGAGCCCAAGAATCCAAGACGCACTGGATGTGGACATAACTATTGCCCGCACCAGGGCCCAGCAGAGGCCCCCAGAGGCCGAAAGCGGTCAACGGCCTTCCACAGTGTGCCCTCGTGCCATAGCTCAAGTCTCCGGCGGCCGTTCGGAAGGATTCGGACCCTCCCTCGGCGAGGCGGCGCTGCCGGAGGGCACCCCGAGGGTTGAAGACCCCCGGGGCTCGACGAACACGTCCGAGCACCTCGAACTTCGAGAGGTGGCTGCCCCCCCCCCGCCCGTCATCGCCCGACCAGGCGCCCAGGCCGTGAAACCTATCTGAACATCATCGGCACCGACATCGAGTGCGCGATCCGCGCCTGTCAGCGGGCCCGCCCGCGAGCCGACCCCGCCCCCCAGCAAAAGCCGTCCCGCGATCACCCGGCGCTCGATCAGACGAGGATGGGGAGGAGGGAGACGGGAGGAGGAGGAGGAGGTGCAGGGAAGAAGGGAGGAGGGAGGAGATGAGAAAGGGTGGGGGAGGGAAGGAGGAGGAAGCGGCGCAAAGAGGAGGAGACAAGGAGGGAAGGAGAAGAAGGAGAAAGGAAGAAGGGGACGTGGAGTAAGAAGGTGGACGAGGAAGGCCAGAGCAAACCCAGGATGCATCAACGATGCTGCAATACACCCTCCCGTCTAAAGTCCCCCCCTTACAAGTCATTGTAGGTATTCCTCTCCTTTGCAGGAAACGCACAAACGTGACAAAGGACTGCCCACCATTCGTGGAACAGTTGCACAATTTGGAAGTCTGGGCCAGATAATTTGAGGAAATCTGAACCGACAGACGCATGTTGCAAACGAGCTGGCCTTCGACTTGGCACCTGTTGGGAGCTTATAAATCGAATGCGCGCGGCGCTAAAGCGAAACCGACATTTTGGCAACGAACGGCCCTACATCCTTGTACATATTGTATTTTCTAGCTTCGAAGTAGTAGGAACGTCTCACGCGAAACGCTCGAACCAGCCTTCGAATCGCCTACGAAAACGTCTGATAATGGCACACACGAGTCCAGTGCAAGAAAAGGGGATTGAGGGGAGACGAAGAGGATGAGGAGAATCTGGAGGCACAGCAGAGGAGTTACGAGAAGGATAGAGGAGGAGGGGGAGGAGGAGGACATTGGCGCAGACAGGGAGGAGGGAACGATCGATTCAGACGCTCCCGCTGCAACAAAGCACGGGAAGGAAAGGCTGAGGCGGAGGAGGAGAGAAATGGGGAGAGGACCCGAGGACATGGAGGAGGAGAAGGAGGAAAAGAAGGAACACTGATGACAAGAAGGGGGAGGAGGAGAGGGAGGCAAGGGGGCCGATGGGATAGGGAGGAGGGAGCAGTCCCTCCGCCCCTTCCCTCATTCTGCTCCTCCTCCTCCTCCTCCTCCTCCTAGTCCGCCGCCCCTTCTCCCTCTCTGAATTCCTATGATCCGCCTCCTCCTCCTCCTCGTCCAACTCATCCCCGTCCTTTCTCCCTCATCCTCCCACAAATATTCTCCCCTCCCACTCCTCCTCCACCTCCGCCTCCTCCTCATCATCGAAATCATCACCCTCATCATCTTCCTCCTCCTCATCATCACCACCATCATCATCCTCAGCATCATCATCATCATCATCATCAGCAGCCTCAGCAGCAGCCGCATCATCATCAGCATCATCATCGTCATCAACATCACCACCATCATCACTACCATCATCACCACCACCACCGTCATCATCATCATCAACAACTACATCATCATCAGAATCATCATCATCACCATCACCATCATCATCATGATCATCATCATCATCATCATCATCATCATCATCATCATCATCATCATCATGATCATCATCATCATCATCACCGTCATCATCATCCTCATAATCACCACCATCATCGTCAGCAGCATCATCAGAATAATCAGCATCAGCACCATTACCACCACAATCACCATCACCATCATCATCACCACCATCATCAGCAGCATCACCATCACCATCATCGTCAGCATCATCATCAGCAACACCATTATCGTGATCAGAACTATCAGCATCATGACCATCACCATCGGCATCACCATCACCATCATCGCCAGCATCGTCATCGTCGGCATCATCATAGTCATCATCATCAACAGCATCAGCTCCATCAACATCATCATCATCATCATCATCATCATCATCATCATCATCATCACCATCAGTATCATCATTATCGTCGTCATTAACATAATCATCATCATCACCAACATCGTCGTCAGCATCTGTATCGTCGCCATCCTCATCATCCTCACCATAATCATCATCATCATGATCAGCATCAGCAGCATCATCATCAGTATCATCATCACCAGTATGATCATCACCATCGTCATCATCATCAGCAACATCATCGCCATAATCTTCGTCATCGTCGTCATCGCCACCGTCGTCATCATCACCATCCTCGTCATCATTATCATCATCCTCAGCATCCAACTCTTCCTCCTCAGCATCAGCATCACCAGCAGAATCATCAGCATCCTCATCCTCATCCTCATCCTCATCCTCATCCTCATCCTCATCCTCATCCTCATCATCATCATCATCATCATCATCATCATCATCATCATCATCATCATCTTCATCACAATTGCCAGCATCGCCAGTGTCATCAACGTGATTGACGCCATCAGCAGCATCATCATCAACAGCATCATTATCCTCATCCGCATCATCACCATCACTACCACCACCACCATCAGCAGCAGCATCTTCATCCTCATCCTCATCCTCAGCATCAGTATCTGTATCAGAATCAGTATCATTCTTATCATCACAACAGACATCACCATCACCGTCACCATCACCGCCATCCTCATCATCAGCAGCAGCAGCAACATCGCCATCGTCATGATCATCATTATCACCGTCCTCATCATCCTCATCATCATCACCATCACTATCATCCTCGTCCTAACCCTCACCCTCACCCTCACCCTCATCATCATCATCCTCATCCTCATCCTCATCCTCATCATCATCATCATCATCATCATCATCATCATCATCATCATCATCCTCAGCATCCTCCTCCTGCTCCTCCTCATCATCATCACCACCACCAGCATTATCCGCCTCCTTCTCCTCATCCCTCCTGACAGCAGGAAGAAAGGCCAGCCTCCCCGCGAGGACGGGCACGGGGCCAACCAGCACGACGGACCGACGTCGACGGCGGAGGCGACGGCGACGGCGGCGACGGCGACGGCGACGGCGTCGGCGACGGCGGCGTCGGCGACGACGGAAGCAACGACGGCGACGACGGCGGCGGCGAAGAGCCTCTCCGCAGAGCCCAGACAGGGACGACGGCCGTGCAAAAGCCTCCACCATCGATCCCCGACGACGGCGGCGGCGGCGGCGACGACGCCGACGACGACGATGGCCGCCGCGCCTCCGGGCGACCCGGGCCGCGGGGCGAAGCCTGGAACGCGAGGGCCCGCTGGCCCCCCCCCCGCGGGGGTGGCGGGGAGGCGCCTTGTCAAGCTTCGAATGGGCACCCACCTCGCGGAAAGCTCCCAAAACGGGGCCTCGCCTCCCGTGAGAGGTCTGGGGGTGAGGCAGGCTTCGTTGCGCCGCGGTGGTTCGTGCCTGAACTTCTCATGGCTAGATAGCCAGATCTTCATCCCCCTCCGCCCTTCCTATTCCTCCTCCTCCTCCTCCTCCTCCTCCTCCTCTTCCTCCTTCCCTCTTCCGCCTCCTTCTCCTGCCCCCCCCCATGGTTGTCCTCCTCCTCCTTCTCTTGCTCCTCCTGTCCCTTCTCCTCCTCCTCCTCCTGCTCCTCCTCCTCATCCTCCGTATCCTCCCCTCCTCCTCCTCCTGCTCCTCCTCCTCATCCTCCGTATCCTCCTCCTCCTCCTGCTTCCCGTCCCCTCCCTCCTCCCTTCATTGTGTTTGCTATGTTATCTTTGCTATTACTACACATGTTGGTATTGTTCTTCTTATGTTGATGATTATTACTATTGTTACGAGTATTATTATTCGTTCTCTTATTATTCATCTTCCTCCTCTTCCTCCGCCTCCTCGTCCTCCTCCTCCTCCTGGGGCAACCCTCCGCTGCCCGCATGCACGCATGCAAGCACCTAAGAGAAATAACCCCCGCACCGATCTCGAGGAGCGTTCATTGTACTACTCCTCCGCCTCCTCCTCCTCTTCCTCGTCCCTGTCGTGTTTGATCCTTTTCCTCCTCCTCCTCCTCCTCCTCCTCCTCCTCCTCCTCCACATCCTCCTCTACGTCCTCCACTTACTCCTCCTCCTCCTCCTCCACCTCCTCCTCTTCCTCCTCCTTGACCTCCTTTCCCCCCCCCCCCCTCCCCTGCCTCCTCCTCCCCCTCCTCCTCCTCCTCGTCCTCCTCCTCCTCCTCCTGCTCCTCCTCCTCCTCTTCCTTATGTCCCTCGTCATCGTCCTCCTCGTCCCCTGGTGTTCATTCATACTATGTGTCTCTAGAATCGCCTGAATATATATATAACCACTCCCCGTGATGCTATTAGTAATATGACCCGGGCTAATATTCGTATACACTTTCATACTCGACCATTTGTATTACTAACATCGTGCCGATGATAAAAAAGGACCCCCCCTTTCCAGGTTAGAGTTGATTATCCACGGCCAAGAGGAGTTTGGTCAGGGGCGCGGGGCGCGGAGGCCGAACTTTTTTAATCACTGTGGAAAGCTCACCATCGAGGTTAACTTCCTTCTTATGTTGAGACAACAACATCAAACGAAGCGAAGACGTTGTCGAGGATGTCTCAAGCGAAACCAGCACTCGATCCTCGATCCTCGGCTTTCGGTCCTCTTAACATCATCTCTTTCTCCTCCCACATGCTGGCCTCCGGTAGTCAACATTTATAATCGCCTCGCGACCCCGAACTTTATTACCCCTGTGGGATTCATCTCCGTGGTGTTCGGTTACTCGCATTTCAGTCGTATTATTATGCGTGTGCTTCCGGTTAGTCATATGACTTCTTTACAGGTACGAGTTGCCGTCGCATTCGTACTACCAATACGGCCATCTCATCATCTTACTATCCCTCTTACTTGTACTATTCGTAATGCACTCGCCTCAGTGGTTGCAACACCTTTGTTCTTAGTCAGAGTGAGGGGGCCGAACGCTCATTCTTTGTCCCCCGGTGCGTGGCTGAAGTGGGGGTCCGCGGGGAAGATTCTGCTTGTCGTTGTTGTCGTCGTCGTGCCACCCCCCCGACTCGCCCGCGACCCACCCGCCACCCACCCCGCGACCCACCCCGCGACCCACCCGCGACCCACCCCGCGACCCACCCCGCGACTCACCCCGCGACCCACCCCGCGACCCACCCCGCGACCCACCCGCGACCCACCCCGCAACCCACCCCGCGACCCACCCGCGACCCACCCGCGATCCATACGCGACCCACCCGCGACCCACTCGCGACCCGGCCCGCGGCCAACCCGCGACCCACCCCGCAATCCACCCACATTGTTTTAACTAAGAAATCGGCGCCTGCGGCGGGCTCACTGCATACTTTGTAAAAGATAGGCGCCTGCGGCGGGCTTCTTCAGAGCCTCGCAGACTGACGACGTCTTCGCCGCCCCCTCACTCTTATCCGCAACTGCGGGTGCTACGTATCACGTGTACTCTTGCATTGTCATTCGTATGGGTCTACTTCGTGCTCAACTTGTTGCATGATGCTTATCCTATGTTGCTCTCTTATTCGTCGCATGCTTCGCCTTTTCGGTACTATTATTGTTCCTCCTCGTCGTTCTCCTCCTCCTCCTCCTCCTCCTCCTCCTCCTCCTCCTCCTCCTCCTCCTACTTGGTCGGACGACAGTTGGGGGCGTCACCTCCAGTGGAATATGCCTGCTGGTGCAAAAACAAGATGCACGTAGATGTTCTGGGGCATGTCTGGATCGACCCTCACGTCTTGATCCTCGGTGCGACCGTAGCCCTCTTGAGAACAAGGAGCGGGTGCAATGCCAGCGCCCGAAGCCGCTGCTTTTCCCCCTCCCGTGCCCAATTTGTACCACTAGGCGGGGTGTCGCTCCAGCGCCCCATTTGTATCAAGCGAGGGCGCTCCGGTAGCCCATGCCGACAACGCGGATGCGCTGCGGCGCGCCGCCTTCACCAAGGAAGCGCGCTCCAGCAAGCCACGGCGTGCGCTCCAGCGCTGCGCGCTTACCGAGCCACGGCGTGCGCTAACAGCTCTGAGTGGTCCTACCCCCGGCGGCCCCAGGCTCACAAGTGAAGGCGGCGTGCAGCAGCTGCCAGACTCCCAAGCGGCGTGCGGGACCAGGCAGTGGGACAGGGCTGCGGGGGCGACCGATCCCTTCGGCTCGACCGCTGACCGTCCCCCTGACGCGCCCCCCGGCTCCTGGGTTCGAGTACTGGACACGGATGGCGAGGTCCACGCAATCCTCCCTGATGCAGCCGTCTGCCAAGAGGCCCCCTCGCAAGGCACCCCGACGGCTCGAACGGCCGCCGCCGCCTGGAGAGTCTCGGGCTGCCGCTGCGGCCGGTAGCCGGGGAGCTGGGCCCCCAGGTCGGCGCGGCACCGCTGCCACCGGAGGAGCTGGCCAGAAAGGCAGACAGAGCCGCACTCAATCGACTGGTCAACAGAGGCCCCTTCGCTCCCACCCGCCCGCCCTCCCCCGACAGCTGATCAGACGGCCCGCGTCGAAGGACGGAGAAGGTGCCCCTGAAGAAGGCGGCCCCTCGACGGCCCTGGTCCAAGACGGCGCCGGCGGCCGGTGGTGACGACGACGGCCCTCCTCCGCACACGGTTCACCCTGGACCACAGCGGCCCGGGGCTCCCGATGAACCGGCGGATCCCCTGCACAAGACGCTGCCACGCTCAGCAGAGAACCTATCCCGGAACTCTCGTCGCTTCAGCCGGAAGGTGGAACCCAGACACAGAGTCGTGAGCAGCAAGACAGACGCCAACGGCGCCGCCTGGAGTTCCGGTACGCCCTCCCTGCCACACGACGTTCCCCACCCTGGGTTCGACGCTGTCCGCAGGGAGGGCACGGCAACGTCCCACTGTTTTTTGCAACGGCGAATTGCATACCTAGCGCAGTCGGGGGAGGCCGGTGGAAGGACGACGAAGACGAGCACGACAACGGCGACGACCCCGACGCCGACGCCAACGTCGTCTCCAACGCCAACGCCGACGCCGCCGCTGACGCCGACGCCGACGCCGACGCCGAGGCCGACTCCGACGCCGACGCCGATTCCGACCCCGACACCGACGCCGACGCCGACGCCGACGCCGACGACGACACCGACGACGACGCCCACGCCGAGGCTGACGCCGACGCCGACGCTGGCGCCGACCCAGGCGGCGACGCCAACGCCGACCCCGTCACCGACGCCGACGCCGACGCCGACGCCGACGCCGACGACGAGGACGACGACGACGGCGACGGAGGAGGCCAGAGCGGCCTCCCTCGGGGCGAAGCCGCCGGAGGCACGAGGGCCGACCCGAACTCAGGTGCCCGCCCTGGAACGGGACCCGAGGCGGATGCCGACGACGGCGCGCCCGGACAGGACACGGAAATGGACACAGACAGCGGGCTCGCCCGACCGACGCTCGACACCCAGGCGGCAGACAGAGCCGATAGACATCCTGGCACGACGTTTGCCCAGCACGACCTTGACGGGAACCCAGATCCCTTGCCCAACGGCGGGCCTCCCGCAGCCCTCCGGGAGCCCGGCCTCCCCACGGCACGGCGTTCCCCCCCCGGGTTCGACGGTGCCCCTCGGGGGAGCACGGCTCCATCACACCTTCTTTTGCAACGGCGAATTGCGCTCCTCGTCGCCACGTCCCCAGTCCCCAGACCTGGCGAGCCCTCGTCGCCGCGGCTGGACTCTCGGGGAGTCGGAGAACGCGGCGGCGGAGGAAGGGGAATCCTGGCACCGACGCGCGTCCCGGACGTCCCTCGTCACCACGGAACCCAGCGGCACAATCCAGTCGGAGCGGCGCGCGGCGCGCGGCGTCCGTCCTTGCAGCCCGCCGGGCCAGCGGCTGGGTCATCGCCGACAAGCTTCAGTACGTGAACCCACCGCCCGCCCCGGAGGCTCTTCGCACCTCCCCAATAACGATGGACGCTGGCGGCTCCAGCACAACGGGCTGCGAGGGTGCGAGGGGGGACACCTCTGCCTGCACGGTGGGAGCTCCTGCTCCTCGTCAAAGACACTTGGACCGCTTCGCCGGACACCCGTGTCCTCTGGGATCGTTTACCTCGGACTACAGGAAGCAGGGCAAGGGGCGGGCGCGTCCAGACGATATCCCACCACGCGTCCTGCTCGACTTTCTCAGCTCAAAGGGAGCCGTGGTGGCCCGGGACAGGAGGGCGCAGCAAACTTGTGGTAAACCTGGGGCGGCCTGGAACAAATTTTGCGCACTGCGTGGCGGCGGCGCCCGCGACCCCGGCCGGCACGACGCCACTTTCCTCCGCTGCTTCCTCCG